TCACCTTCGGTTTTCTCTGGAACCGAGTGTGACATTTGTATACAGATAATATGATATGAGACTGGTAACTTGAATGGAAATGAAAAAACAATTTAATGTTATTACAGTTACTGTAGAATATGTATTTTCAGATAATCATTTTCTAATAAATGTAATATTTACTAAAATAACGAGGTCAAATTTGTTAGCCGGTATGACGTTAAAACGACGAATCAAATAATTCAACTTTATATATAACTAATATAGGACAATGGTGTTGGTTGAAAATTACACCATTCAAGGCCATTTTGTTTCCTCATAATTAATATTTCCAGTAATTAATAAGTTCCGGGTCGAATCTGATACCGATGCCAATAGTATACGTCACCTGTTACCTGTTGCCCAATCTGTACGTTCCGCTCCTATCAGGCGCACTACCAAACGATGTATTTGGGATTTGCTTTAAACACGGGTCATAATCACACCAAAACGTCGTCATTATACAGGGATTAACACTAGTAAATACATCGTCATTGTCCATGAATTTTCCGGTTGTAGTAAGAAAACCAGGACAGATTCAAACAGAAAGATTTTGAAAGCAGAGAAAACTGTGCACCTTATAATCAGGATGACTTTATCAGATGACAATACGAAAACTAAAAGTCCAGGCTTAGAATATGGCGTAGGTACTCTAATTCAATCACGGACCCTCGATGTCGCGAATGTGTTCTAGTACAATGTATATTTTCATTCCTATAATACAGATTGTGGCTGTAGTATTGACTTACAGGGACACATGTTAGGGATAAATCTTGTGAATGTGATGTTTTGTGGTGAAAGGTTTATTCAGCTGGCACCTTTTAAATACATTTAAGATTTTATCTCTAGCCCTTATTCTTGGAAAACCTTATTCATTTTTTAGTTGTAAATGACTTTGAACTAGCTTCCAGTTACGGTTGGTACTCTTGGGTCAGATTTCTTTTCGATGGTGTCCGTCTTTTAAATGTCCGTCATTATCCGACATATTTGGTGGTATAGTTTAGATTTGAAGCACAATTTGGGGAAACTGTAAATACATTTTCAGATTTCCAGATTTGTCAAGATTTCATCTTCTTGTGCTCTAATGGCCAACCAATCTGCCTTTTCTTAAACAGTTCGGTTGATCTCAATTGAAAAAAGATAAATACTAAAATTATTGATAAATATTACCCCTATCTCCACAAAATGTTCAAATAGAAACCTATATTCGACATAAATGCAAGTATGTTGACCAAATTGTTCTTTAGTTATGTAAATTTAATATAAAAATGAAAAGATGTGGTATGATTTCCCATGAGACAACTCTTTACCACAGACCAAGTGACGTAAAAGTTATCAACTGTATGTAACGGAACGACCATCAACAGAATTGTAAACAACGAAGCTAAAAAAAAACGGATATCTATTTAGAAAGCTAAAACTATGGGCTTTCATATTGGAATATGTACTGAACTTTTACATATCAGACTTCAAGTCAAGTGCATGGTGTTATATTCCCAAACCTTATGTTGGCCACCTTTACTTTGGTGGCCATATTGGAGTTTTTCCCTGGCTGCACATAAAAAAATGTAAATTTGCATCATAACTAATACTGTGCTAAGTTTCATGATTTTATCATAAAATGATCAATTGTTATGAAATCCGCTCGATTATATTATCTAAAAATTATAATACATGTAAGAGGAAGAAACTGAACAGCAAATCAAGATCTGCATAAATAACAATATGACTGAAACCATTGATAGGTCTACTTACAGCAGTTGACTAGTTTTCTTGTTTGCTTATGATCTCGAAAACTAGAACGGTAGGTAGAAACTGTAAAGCAACAATGAGCAGCAATTCAAGATTTACAAAACCATTGTATGGCTCATTTCATGAGTTGTTGTCTTAAAATGACAATTGTTGACTTATAGTTTTGCGACTATAATAACTGCGTCTATCCAAATGAACTAAAAATGAAAAATAACACAGTCAAATACAGTTAAGTCTACTTCATATCTTGACTGACATCTGGAAATTGTTAATGATCATGATGATTGTCAGTTCAGAAACTAAACTACAACACAAGAAATGATTTCAATTTTCTCATTGTGAACTTTCTATTTTTGTGAAACATCATTCCCGTAGCGCTTGAATATATAGAAGAGAGGGACATTCAAACTCATAATTCGAAACCTGACAACGCCATGACTAAAAAGGAAAAAGACAAACAGACAAAAAACAGTACACAAAACAGCACAGAAAACTATAGACTGAGCAACACGAACCCGACCAAAAAATGGGGATGATATCTGGTGATTCGGACGGGTTGGCAGATCCTGCTCCACATATATGTTTCTTATTTGATACGATATTTCAGGTCTAACGTTTCCAATCTTGTCTTCCTTGATAGTGGATATATGCTTACAGGGAAGCTATTGTACCAAGGGTTTCAAGTGGTTAAATTGAAGTCCTTTCGAAAGTTTAATCATAATTTGGCTGTCCGTTATGGAATATCTGTGTCACATATTACAAGGTACGTTTTCCACTTGTCGTGACCACAATCCATAGGCAGTTGTCTCTGAAAGAAAACCTATAAACTTATATATAACACAAGGTACACAACCCGTATTTTTGAGTGTATGAGAACCTACTTGGAAGGCATGCTACAATTGATTCCGACAACAGAAATACCGTTTTATACACAATTTTGTGGATAATTTAATGTAGATTTACGACATAACAAGTTTCAGTGGGATTGGCAACAGCTGAATCGAAATATTACGGAAGCGCGCGACCGAGTGTCATTTCCCACAAGAAACGAGTTAGGATACCTTGTAGTTTATTAAAGTATATAGGTATTTTTTCAGAGAGAAGTGCATGTGCCACAATCCCTTCGTTTTTGCATTGTGCTATTTACCACAAGCGACTTTTATCCGGATTGTTACATGCTTAAGCAATAACACTGAGTAAAGTTTGGAACAGCAACTATCTTCTCTTCCTGAGCGCATAAGTTCACCTCGGCGACTGCTTTAAACAATTCATAAGTTTTTTGTTGTGTGAAATACTCACCTCTAATCAGTAATACGATAACAATATCAAGTATGTGGAATCTCTTCAGGTCTTCATGTCCATATTACCAGGATCACATGACCTTCACCTCATTTAATGGATCAGTGATCAAGGTTAAGTTTTCGTTGTCATTTCCGTCTCTCAGTTACTTTAATCAATATATCAACTATATTTGGTGAATGGAATGATTGTATGATGTATATGCCCGACTGGTTTTACAAATGTATCTGACTTTGACCTAATTTTGGTGGACGGTTAATGGGTCAATATTAAGTTTTTATGTTTTCGTCTGTTTCTCAGATACTATACGCAATGGGGCCACTATATTTAGTGCATAGAATGATTGTAAGGTGTACTTTTCTTTCTGGCAGGATTCATATTTTCATAGTTCATTGGTTAATGTTACGTTTCATTGTTTTTTCAGTTTATCAGGTACTTTAAGCAATAGGTCCTACTAGGGGTATGAACTGATTGCAAGGTGTACACGTCTATTTGGCAGGACTCATTTGACCTTGACATCTCTTTCATGGTTCATTGGTTGATGTTAACTGTTCAAGGTTAGGACCGATTCTCAGACACTATAACCAAATCTATTTGGTGTATTCAATGATTGTATGGTGTACATATCTGGCAGGGTTCAACTGATCTTGAACTCATTTTTATGGTTAATTGTATATTTGGTCAATGTTCAGATTTCGTAATTTAATCTGTTTCTAAGATTCTACAAGCTCTAGGCTCAATATATTTTTTGGTGTACGATATCATTGTAAGGAGTATACATCTGTCTTGTGGGGTTCCTGTGACCTTGACCTCATTCACCTGGATCATTGATAATATATGATACTTGTAGTAAAACCTTCATATTGCAGACTTTCAACTTAATTTCAAACATGAAAAGTAAAGTAGGCGAGATATTTCAGCGGGTGCACTCTGGTGCCTTACTCCTGACCTTGCTTATTTGCTCTCGGTTCTTTTTGTTATCTTCCCTGGTATGACTGCTGGTAACATATCAGATGTTTACTGTCACATTTTGAACAAAATGAATTAATTAGGGTAATTCCTTAGGGATTTTTTTTTTTGCGACTGTGTATATTTGGACTACATTGTGACGTAAACAATGCTTACTAAAATAATAAAACAGAAGATAGGGTGTTAAAGAAAGGACAGGTCGGGTTGCAGTAAACACGCATACTTTTTATTTAGACATGAGTTGTCAATCTTGAGAAAAGAAGTCTACGGTTTGAAAGGTCTGTGATATAGAAATCACTAGTACTCTAAATGCAATACACAACAAATAAAACTGAAGACTGAGCAAAACGAACCCCACCAAAACAGGGATGGAATCAGCTGCTCTGGATGGTTAAACAGATCTTAGTCTGCATGAGGAAAATGTCGTGTTGCTAATGTAAGTACACACCCAGTGATAAGTTATTCGGTGGGTCACATTCAAGAACAATTGGAACTTTGAAGGTGGGGATTGCAGTCAAGAATATATTAATAATTACAACTAAAAGACAAAGAAGAGAATGCATACCAGTAACAGATGAACACTATCTTATGAATATGAGGTGTGAAGCAGAGAGTTTTTTGTCAGTTTTTAAACACATGAGAACACATATTTATTATCACTACACTTTCGATGTCTGTGGTAAACGGTTTATTGATAGTCAGAGCTTGCAGATGAGCCCACTCAGGGACAAAACATATTGGTTATAAACCTTAAACATGTGATGGGTCGCTAATGATTTACTAGAATTCAGAGACACACGAGAATGCATAATGGGTGTTTAACCTTAGAATTTAGGTTTTTGTAGTTCAGGGCCTTCTTATAATGACCTATTACAGACATGCAACACTTACTGGGTTATCAAATTGAAGTTCAAACTTGTAGACGTAGTGATTTAGAAAACTTAGAGAATGAGGCAAAGGTTTCAGTTGTTGTCAAATGTTATACCCCAAGGGCCTCTCATATTGTCCACATGTACGTCGAATATTTTACTTCCGGTCATATCAGTGCATATGAATTTGTTCCCGTAATAAGTAAAGTACATACGAGAGTCCGTTCCAACGAGCATATTTTCTGGAGTAAAATCGCTGAGGTTAATTTTATATTGTAATTCTCCTGTGTGTATGCTTATAACATGAACTGTATGTTCATTGTCACTTATAACTTCTGTTTTCTCTTGACAACTCACGAATAATTGCATATTACTATATGCTATTGCAAAACATGACGCATGTAGTTCAAATTCATTGGTTGATTCTCCAGATAGAACATTTATAAGTCCCACTTTCATTTCAGAGCCGAAAGAAACAGCAACCGTTTCTACATCCGTCACTGCCATTCGGAAAGGTTCCATCGGTAACATTGTTTCCATTCTGTCCCCTCCATCTATTCGACACGTAATTAATTTGTTTTCCTTGCCGTCAGCAACAACTAAGAGTTCATCATTTAGCACTTTGATGTCGCGAATCTTCATTCCCCTGATTTTAAATGTATCTTTCACTTTATATTTAAGAGGATCGATGTACTTGCTTTTATGGTCACTAAAAGCTGTACCAGAGTTATGTTTTGCATTGCACTGTTCACACATATACTTGTCGCATTCTTTGCAATCGTAAAACGCAGGTTTCTCCTTATCATCACAACATTGACAACTGCAATGCAAATAAATCAGCATAAAGGCATGAATAATTAATACACTTTATTGAAACGTTTATACATGTAAGACTATAGGTTGAGAACTATAAACTATACTTTTTTTCGACACATACATAACATGACATCAACATTTTACGGGGACGTTTTTAAGTCCATTAATGGCAGAAAAAAGTTGCTGCCTTGTTAAAAAACTAATTCATATGGGCTGAATTTATAATTATTTATAATGATTTCACCACGGGTTGGCGCTTTCTGCTTAATATTTTACCATGAGTGATACATGTGATAGCGAAGGGTAAAATATCAGCATACAAAATAACCACCCTTGTTAAAATCAATATAAAGTCAAGCCCCCTGAATTATTTCTATTCGAATAGGCCAAGACAGCAATTCTTTTGGATCGAAGCGCTCTTAGTTCTTTTTTGACATTTCTAAGTTACAAATTGAAATTTCCCAGTTCTAACTTTGAACGGAGAAATGTCGACTTGTAAATGAGAAATGTCTGCCTGTTAGTGAAAAATGTCAGTTAAGAATGGGAGCATATACACTTTGAAATAAAAGTTGTTACAATCAATATAAAGTCAAGCCCCCTGAATTATCTCTATTCAAATAGGCCAAGACAGCAATTCTTTTGGATTGAAGCGCTCTAGGTGAGGGCAAATATTTGCCGTTCCCGTAATTGAACACATAATTAATAATGACGTAAAAGACGATGAAAACTGAAACAGTGACGTGCTTAGCAAACTTAGACAGGTTAAGACGAAGTTAAATGATTATGAAAATATAAAAATTTTGTCTGTGCCTCTCGGAAAAGAAGGAATTGATTTTTGTTACATCAAAAAAAGCACTGATGATTGAAGGAGGTTGGATGTGTATCTTGCAACAAGTGTTTGTGTATGCAAACCACAAATGAATATGATACACCTTTGCTGATTCGTTTACATTATTGCTTATTTGATTACTGAACAAATTTGATCAATCTTGCTTGTATTTAAGAAAATGAGCATTCAACAAAATCGTATCAATGTTTGTTTATGATTCCATGTTTAAATCATAAATTATTCAAGTAAATCTTCTAATTAGTCTTCGACACACTTAGTTAACAAATCAAAAATCAACTATGAAAAACGGCAATCAACGACGACAACCGGATTAAACAGTTTTAGACAGGGACATAAATATTTATACGGGTTCAACATGTTTTTCTTAAAGAGCTCAACTCGCCGGCTAAACTATGACAGCTGTGGAGCAGCAAAACTATAGAAAAAAATCGGTAAAGATAATTTGAGATGAGCTAGTCTCATCAGATGAAACAAACCACACACACAACTACAAAATGAAAAAAAACTCTCTTCCTTAAAGTCTCATAAAATCTTCATTTTTTTAATCTTAAACGAAAAGTCTATATATCTTTGTGTTTAGGTAATTATAATAAATAAACCCATAACGCAGACTTTAATCTCTAGTTGTTAAATGCTCACCAAATAAGTGACTCTTGTCTTCTCAGTCCTACAATTTAAAAAAAAAGCAATGCAATGACACAAAGTTTACCAGATCACTCAATCAGACTCTTAAATCAGTTATTCAATTTTTATTAAAAAAACATACCCCCATAGACTTGATAAAGGTTGCCATATTAGCTTTTCCAGGACACCAAATTTGATATTCCGGCCAAGGGGTACGTATTGACATGAGTTTGATGTTTTTATATTGAAGTATGATCAATTGATTTCTATTGCTACATAATGACTACATTTAAAACGACACAGTTGTTCTGATGACATGAATTCAAGGGAGTCTATAGATTGAGTTCATTTTATATCTTCGAATATTCTAAATATTTTAAATTTCAGAGACTATATCTTATCTTAGAAAATCTCGACAGCAACCATGTCATCCACCAATTGATAGTTTAACTTAAAAGACAATATGTCATCTTAATGTTAAAAAATCCGCAATTTCTGAAGATCAAAAGATGTCTTATCATATTTCAACTGCCGAGTTAAGAGATTTTAATAAATTGCAAGTATACTGAAATAAGTAGATTTGGTACGATTGCCAACGAGAAAACTATTACAAGAGATTTAAACAACTATAACGTCAACGAATGACCTTCAATAATGAGCAAAACCCATTCCGTTAGGGATCTTTACCTAAAACTTTCATACGATTTCCGTCAAAGATCGTCTATTGAAAATTCTCACACCAACATCAGATTTCTCACTTCCAATTTGACATGTATCAGTAAAAACTTGTTATTTCGAGTTCCAACTTGTTATTTCTTAGTTCTTTTTTGACATTTCTAAGTTCCAAATTGAAATTTCTCAGTTCTAACTTTGAACGGAGAAATGTCGACTTGAAAATGAGAAATGTCTACCTGTTAGTGAAAAATGTCAGTTAAGAGCGGAGGCATATACACTTTGAAAAAAAAGTTGTTGACGACAGAATATCCTTAATTATTGGTCTGTCGTAGACTACGGACAATGCGTGTCTTCTTAAATTCCTGTAGAAAACATGTTTGAGAAGTTTATCATATTAATCGTTTGATAGCATATCAAATTAAAACGAAAATAGAAAAAAAAGCTTCTAAAACTAAAACAATAAAACCGGATGTCAAATTGACAGCATATTGGGTTTATTTTGTCCATTAAGGATGTTCCATACCCATGTTTTTGACATTTTGTCAGATATTTGGAATCCTTTAGTTTTATCCATGTAGTGCCAATAAAATATGTTGCCCACTAACACCTACTTTTCTTTTCATATTTTTTTTTACATATTGTTAAAAAAGCCATTTTTTTTTAAATCTTATAAAATCCTTGTTAATTTTTCATAGTTTTTGAAAGGAAACAGGTACCAATGTATGAACAATCTAAAGAGAACCATTTCCCTCCAAATTTTCATATGCTTATATCTCAAAACAAGGATACTGACCCTTTCATCTTTTTCTGCTTTTTAAGTTCCGTTATTTCTATACTATCGATTTATAGCAGTCTTTTAAAAGTCTTGTTATTTTATAACAGAGAAGCGAACATCCTTAAATAGTGTAATTGTAAAGGAAATGGTAGGATAATATCTCTTGAACGTTAAAGTGAAAATCGTCAACATCGACATAGTAAAACCATATCAAAATTTGAAAAAAAAACTTTTATTGAACTATTCTCAATTCAGTTAACTTAATCGATGTCTATATTTCTGTCACGTAGAGTTGTCATTTTATCAATATTTTTTAACATTGTCATAAAGTGGGAGGTTTGGCTAGCCATCAAACCAGGTTCAACCCACCATTTTTTCTTAAAATGTCCTGTACCAAGTCAATAAATGGCAGTTGTTGTCAAATAGTTCGTTTCTATGTATGTTGGCGTTTGTTATTGTTGCACTTCAGTGTTCCTGTTCTTCCTTTGTTTTTCTCTTGTGGATGATGTGTTTCCCTCAATTTTAGTTTGTAACCCGGATGTGTTTCCTCTAAATCGATTTATGACTTTTGAACACCGGTTATACTACTGTTGCCTTTATTTCTGGACTTTGCCGGGAACCACGATTAAAAATACAAAACAAGTAATTGAAATGGTCGTTGATTTATGTAATCTTTACAGTTCTATTTTTTGAATTACTTACTTGGTCTCAAGTATGATATCTCTTTCACCAATGATGCTATTTTGATGTCTTTTGACCTACAGTTTTGACATGTCAAAAGAGAATTGCATTGGGTACAGGACATTTTGTTTGTTTCAGAATCAAAGTTTAAAGATGGTACCTCATCATCTTCATCTTTAAATTCACCTGTTGAACAGAAAATTATGTCAAACCAAGTAGTTGTGTTTTCAAAAATAAGGTGATATAGTTCAAATATTCATACGAAATTAAAATTATCCCGTAATTTCACAGGAATGGCAGTTTAGAATTGAATTGTTTATCGTTTTTTCAAATAATCAAAAAAATTGTAAATATTTCGATTCGAAATATTAAGCATTTACTTATCCGAGTTTAATAATTCACCGTGAAATGTGTTTATTAGAATAGCCCTAAAATGCATTGAAGATTAGTAGATTACCTCTATCCTGTCTTTTTGTATACAAATCAAAGTCACTTAGAGCCTTTTCTTGTCTTTTTCTGTCTGGAGATAACACAGCTGATATAACTAACAATTCATCTACAATTTAATTTCCAAAATTTAGACATGTCATATTAAACACGTTGAAAAATTATCAATCAATTTTGAATTTTCTTCGCACTGCAATAATACGAATAATGTTTTATGTATACAGAAACAACATGTCTACTTTATATTATATCTATAATTTTCAAAAATTAAATTAAATTAAAAAAAGTGTTTGCATATTTTGTTATCTAAAAAGAAATGCTCCATTGGAATAACGTTGATGCAACTACTCTTGTTGACGTTTGATGACGTCACGGTCTCATTACAAAATTATATCTATGAGCTGATAGACAAAAAACTTTAAGCCAATCAGAAGACGTGTTACATCCAAAATTAAATTATATTTTGTTATCTAAAAATAAATGCTACTTTGGAATAACGTTGATGTCACTACACTTGTTGACATTTGATGACGTCACGGTCTCATGTCAAAATTATGTTTATGAGCTGATAGACAAAAAAATTTTAGCCAATCAGAAGACGTGTTACATCCAAAATTAAATTATATTTTGTTATCTAAAAAGAAATGCTCCTTTGGAATAACGTTGTCACTACTCTTGTTGACGTTTGATGACGTCACGGTCTCATGACAAAATTATGTCTATAAGCTGATAGACAAAAAACGTTAAGCCAATCAGAAAACGTGTTACATCCAAAATTAAATTATTATTTTTTATTAAAAAGAAATTATCCTTTAAAATAACGTTGATGTCACTACTTTTGTTGACGTTTGATGACGTCACGGTCTCATGACAAAATTATGTTATGAGCTGATAGACAAAAAATTTTAAGCCAATCAGAAGAATTATATTTTGTTTTCTAAAAAGAAATGCTCTTTGGAATAACGTTGATGTCACTACTCTTGTTGACGTTTGATGACGTCATGGTCTCATGACAAAATTATGTCTATGAGCTTATAGACAAAAAACTTTAAGCCAATCAGAAGACGTGTTACATCCAAAATTAAATTATGTTTTGATTTCTAAAAAAGAAATGCTCCTTTGGAATTACGTTGATGCCACTACTATTGTTGACGTTTCGTCTCCAGTGCACCACCAACTAAATTATTAGAAATCTAAAGTTAACAGAAAATATCATTGATACGGACATTATCCTAAAAAATGCTGATCATACAACTTTTAAAATACTTAAGGATGTACTTACGTGAAATTTAAAAAAGTCTAGAACTTAAAATTGATACTTAAGGTCAGAAGAGCATTAGTTATGGAACAAAATAAGCTAAAAATATAGATAGGTTATGGAGTTCCTTTTCGAGATATTTTTTTTTTTTTTAAACGGCGGGAAAAGGCTGACTCGAACTTTTACCGTATATTTGCATTGGTATTATTTGGGTCTCAAATCGAAAGTAAATAAATCTAAAATCTGCTTAAATTTTGCTAAATGACCTTTTATGAGCTATTGAAGTCTTATATGAAAAGAAAAAATGGTGTTATGGGGCAAAATATTTTACCCTGTATTCTAGGAAAAAAACATCTGACAGAAATACCTAAACCTGACGTAATTACATCCTTAATGTTTAAATATCAAAAAGACAGTATCTAAGATGTCAATACAAGACAGTTTTCCTATCAATTTTACAAAAAAAATATAGACATACAAATTAGAAGTATATGTGAACAGTAACGTTGTCAGAGGTGATTTTCAGAAGGTCGCTATGTGGTCGAAATAACATTAACGGTATCAATCTACATGCACATTTTGACAATTACTGTCTCTTCAGTGCTGCTTAAGGCCTGAATATTAAAAGTCCAAATCATAATACAAACTTTGAAGAGCTGATCTACAGTATAGTCAAATCTGGACAAGGAATCAGAGCTTTGATCATGCAAACATGCCCATAGGGTCTAAATAAAAAATATTTGGTTAGTCATAGGCAGATATAGATGTTATACTTTTTGTCAGATATATTAGATACAGTCAGTCCAATACCTTTTGTTATCAGGCCTTTTATGATCAACACCATTTTAACTGTTCTCTTAATTTTGGTATCAATATTTCCAGCCGTAATTATCTTTTGAATCAAATCATATACTGCAAACTCTAATGCTTCTTTATTATGAAGTACTAGTCTTGAAACCTCGAGAGCTAATAATACACATTTATTCTCAATGGATTTTATCAAAAATTCTTCACTGGTACTATTTGGTTGGTTGAGATTATTTGTCATCATAATTTCTGCATCGAATCCTGGGTCATCTACTCGACAGCTTGCAGCCATCTTGTCTGTGACATTTGTATCTACATTAAAAAAATATTAGAAAAACATATATTTGTATACGAAATTGTTTTATGAATAGGTTGCGTTTCAAATCATTCAGAATTATATTTCAAAGAAAGAATTTGAACATAAATATTAGCTAGATTCGTACAAAAAATTTTATTTCGATATTGCTCTATGTAAAATTTACGCCGAGTACAATATAATACATGTATCTGTTAATATAGTTAATGTTAAACAAATTCTTAGACAGCAATGAATGAAATGTTCATTATTGTGAAACTTTCAAATCTGTTTATCCTCGCACAACAATAATTCATATTTAGAACAATTTAAGGGTTAAAGTAACAGAACTACCTTTAATTTGCGGAATCTGCACAAACGTATTCAACATCGCTTTTATTTCTTGTAAATTTCTTTCTACTCTACCTAGAAAAAATGTCAAATGTTGCCTATTAATAAATATTTCGCTTAAGCTTAAGTAAACGCCATTTTCCCACTAGTCCAGCACCAACAATATAAATTTCTCGTTTATCAGCAATTTATTTGAATGTGCGGTTTTCATTTTACAAATTCGTTACAATAACTCCCGTGATCTATCCAACATATCAACTGTGCATGCTTTCGTTCAAACTTCACCTTAGGAAATTATAAAGGATATTACACGAACAAATGATTCGTGAATGTAGGTACTTCTTAGATGTTTGGGTAAGAGACATTTACAAACCCTCTATGGTATGTATGAAACCTAGTCAACGACTGTTTGCACAACTTAAAAAAAAGTCTTGGATGGTGTTGTTATCTCTTGATATTTCTCATTTGTAAATCAGGTTGTCCGTCTCTCTTTCAATAAAGACTTGTTTTGAATATTCATAACGATATTTAGCAATCAACCGGTAATTAATCCACCAATGAAGGCTTTTGCATGTCTCTTTCTCATACATGTATTTTCATTTTAACAGGTCATTTTACATGTTTTAACTGGAAAGATCAGATTGCTTGTTAAGAATGTCAATCAAAATTGGTTAAGTGTCCCTGTTTTGGAATATAAAAATGAAATAGGACTTCATAACACAATTTCGTGTCTTTTAACATGACTGTGTGTAACAGAATATTTGCAAACCTCTGTGACAAATATACAATTATTAAACGATGTTTTTAAACATAGGTAACCATGACTATGTTCCTTCCACTTCTTTGTATTAATAACATAACCGAATGTGACTTTAAATGACATATTAGACAATATTTGTAACACAAAGTATGCTGCTGGTTGAACAGGAACAAACTGCACCTTAAAAAGCACCTATATACATTACGGTTTTTGCATGGTATATGTTGTCATATTGTTCTCTTTATGTTTGTTTTAATGTTGATATATATATATATGGATTGGTTTTTCTTCCGGTCATTCTACGCCGTAGCTTTATTTATTACCACCTTTTTTCTCGCATACTTCCAATTATCAAACGAATAAAGTAATACAATACCTAAATCTATTGAGTATTGGTTTTTTGTCTGTTCTAGTTTTGATAAAAGAACCTGAAAGTAAAATTTTATTAGGCAAAACATTATCTTTGATAAACGTATGCATGTTAGAAAATCGAATTTAAATGAAGAATAAAAAATATTATTTCTTAACAGGATGAGTGAGAAAAGGATTACATCATATATACAGTAAACTTAACATACCCAAAAACAGATGAGAGCTTGTTCATAAGGTAAATCAGAAAATGTATGTACGGCCCAAGAATTGTGTATATATATCCTTATAAAACGAGTATGATGTTATGTGGAAGGGTATAGCGTGCATTTGGCAATGATGTAATGTGTAATAGGGAAATGGGAATGGTGTTAGCTGGAAGCTACACGGATCATGGACAGTATTTAATATTTCAAATCAAAACTTTGTGTAAGAGGTAATTTATATTTATTTTCTTTCTATAATAATTCACTGAGAAAAGAGATCATTACTAATAAATATAACATTGCGTTTCAGAATAAACTTAACACCATATTTCAAACGACATTGAGCGAGTTTTTACTAATAAGTGTGATACCTCTTGTATATTTTCACTGGAATGTTTGACGACTTCTTTTAAATGATCCAGTGACGTTTCTTCTTTAAGTTTTTGTATCTCCGTTTTGACTTTCTTTTTGTGTGTTAAAGCTACAACACCAGCATGATTTAGTACATTATCCTCCAGAGTTTTCCACAGATCTTCAAATTCATTCATGTCTATACTACAAGAACCATGATGGACAAGAGTATTCCTTATATCTTTTATTTTATTCAGCCAATTTGGGTCTCCAGGAATGCTGCCAACTGGACAACACGTTTTGATAACAACGTGCAATAAAGATATATCCATACAATCAACACTAACTTGCTGTTTAACAGTATACTGGCAAAGACAGTGTTCTTTTATATTACCTTTACAATCTTTGTGCTCATGTGCAGTTGCGATCTGCCCTTTGGGTTCATATAGTGTATTAAATTGATTGTTATTCATATTTCCACGTTTACTTGACGCTGCTAGTGATATTTTTTTACATTCACAGCAAGGGATCTTCGGAATGAATTGATGAAATAAAACATGCTTATGTTGATTTAAAAACATATAAAATTCCAAACCATTTAGAACTTTCGTTTCAAAATACAAATGAAGAACATCCATTGCTGGCCCAAGTGATAATGCCAACAGACGGAAATATAACTTTCTTCCCTCTATATCCATCTGAAAAAGTTTGGAATAAAGACAATGTACCTTTTGTGCTTTTGATATGATAAATTCCACAAATACAAAAGTTAAAAAAAAAGATGCAGTCATTTTGACCTTCGTCTTTCAAAGTTGACTCAGATGCAATTTAATAACTTGCTATTAGTCTTAAGGTCACTTCTTTCAAATGCTGTTATTCAGTTAAGGTAAGGAAGTTCGGTTGTGGTCGAACACATTGTGAAGAGTTTTTTTTAAAACGTTCCAAATGTTTGGGATAAAAAAGAGAGGAGAAAACAATGGGGAAGGGATGTAAAATCAAAAAGAGAAGAAAATGACTATAAAGTTAAGTGCTAAATATTACAATGAACATGTGTCAACTGACTGAACTTACATCGAAAAAGGAATATTGTTAGTCAGTTGCCCTTAAGTTGTGTACATCATTGTCCATTGGTCTTGGTGGATCATTGACCACTTTGATGCGTCTAATTAATTTTGTTTTAATTATTGATATTATTTGCTGATGTATATAGCCTATATCGCTAAGAAAATCCCTGTACCAAGTCAGGAATATGACAGTTGTTATCCATTCATTAGATGTGTGTGAGCCTTTGATTTTGCAATTAGATTAGGGACTTTCCGTTTTAAATTTTCCTTGGAGTTCGGCATTTTTGTAATTTTACTTTTCACCTGGCATTTTTGCATGAAATTGATACAAACGCAATAACATTTTACATGGTAATTTTACTGGAAACTAATCATTATTGAAGGGCAAAGAGAAGTCGACTGACCATTTATATCAGTTGACTTATTTTCTTTTACTTTAGTTTGGTAATTTACAGTTTCTCTTTATCTTCTACAGTTTCCTCAATGAAACACAAAAATTAGAAAAAAAAATTCATTTAAGGCAAGAATTCCTATAACTTAAAGGTACAAATTTACAATTTCAGTCATGTTTATTTATTTGTAGATCTTGTCATGCTGACAGTTTTGTGTTGATGGATTTTCTTTTATCTCATATAATTTCTCGCATACAAAGCACAAAATCGTTTAAAAATATCATAGAAAGTCATAATTCGTACATGAAATCAATTGACGATTTCGACTATCTTGTCTTAAACGTAGATCTTATTCTGTTGATAATGTTAGCAATTTACAGTTTTTCTCTATCTACCTTAGTTTCTCTAAAATACGAAAATTGGCCATAATCGTCATTCAAGACCAACGATTACTATAAGGAATCAACTGACGATTTCGACTATGCTGATTTATTGGTAGATAATATCCTACTGATAATGTTTTCCATTAACAATTGCTTTTTGCCTATTACAATTCTTAAAATAATATCATATCAAAAGTTCTCAATGTTATCATTTCCACAATAGTTTCAGAAAAAAAGGTTTATTGTAAAATTTAATGATCGACGGTCAAAAGAAGAAAGTTTGACGACCAAGAACGGACGAAAAGTGATGACAAAAACTCACTTGTCCTGTTGAATTAAGCGAGCTAAAATGTGAAAAAAGAAGAGGAAAGTATCAGTGAGGAGAAGAAGATTATACTAGTATTTCGAAAAGCAGTATAAAAACATACAAGTCCATTTCATTATTTGATTGGTGAAGCACCCATATCAGAAGACAGTTTACATGGTTAACCCGTGGTAAGTGGAGTTTACACGCTGATCTATAGAAATTTAACAGAAATATATATGTAATTACAGTCGTCTACTATATACATGTCGCATTTTAACAAACAAAAAACAGCCATAAACATCTCAATAACAATGTTCGACTGATAGCAGATACTCGTTTCACTTTGATTAGTCAAAATAGAATACTATTCAATATATCATGACTTACTTGCTATCAATTATTTTCTGTCGGTATATTCTTTATTAAAATTACGGCATCAGCATGTCATGCATCGAGTAAGGCATTTAAATGGTTAAACTGTTCATGATGTAGTACATTTAAAATGAATTGATTACCTAAAGTATACGGTTGTATGATATTGAAAGACGTGTATTGTATGTTATCTTACCCCCTATACAATTCTAATCTTGATAATTATAACTGTAAAGTTAAAAGAAATATGGGTATATCGGTAACATTAAATTCAAATACCTTACGGTTTAATGCATACATCATTTAATATTGAGTTTCCAAAGCTGGTCTACTCTATATATTCCTGCTGTTTAAAATTTGGCATGTAATATTTGATTAATGAATATAAACAGTAAACATGTCAACAAATTCAATATTATATTCATCGCGACCTAAAAAAAGGGGAACGGGAATAAAAAAAATATGGAATTTCGTCTACTTCTAAATTAACGTCTGAATCAGTTCGTCAATCTAAATCTTTCGTATAGCACATTACAATTAACGTTTGTGATTTATTTCAAACCAGCGAGAAGGAAAGTTATTGTTAGCGGTTTTGTTGAGAAAAAATCAGAGACAGGGATTTTTTTATTAGATAAAAGTCAATTAAGCAATAAACAGTATTTGTTAAAATAGGTAGTTGACACATTGAAAGACTGCATTTGCTAAGGACATTCTATTTTTGTTCGATAAATCATGTTAAGTGTTATATTTGAAGCAGTCCAGTAATAGAGGTGCAAAAGATACCAGAGAGACATTTAAAATCATATGTCAAAAAAAAAAACATACGCCATATGGCTAAAATAGAAAAACAAAAACAATATTACAAGTGTACACAAAACACAATATAGAAACCAAAAAACGGAGCAGCATGAAACCCACTTAAAACTGGGGGTGATTCAGGTGTTTGGAAGGGTAAGCAGATCCTGCCCGACGTGGCACCCGTCGTGTAAAAATGAGGCGAGAGATATGAAAAGGGATATTCAGACTGACAATGCAATTGCCAAAAAAAGTTAAACGTTCAAAAGACAAACAACAGTGCACAACACGCAACTTAGAACTCTTAGGACTGAGCAACATGAACCCCACCCAAATACCGAAATCATCTTAGGAGCTCCAGAAGGGTAAGCAGAGTTTGCTTCAAACATATCTGTTTAGTCAGACATATGTCAATAAGATATGTTTCATCAATAGTATTCATTGTTATAAATCTTGGTTTATCTCTTAAGAAGATCGACAAGGATCTAAACTTCTAAAATGAATGTTAGCCTTAATGAGAGGTTGTTGAGTACTTTGTAGCTACTGTGCTCGTTGATCTTTATGGTAAATAAAGTCATATCCTCTTAACTTTAAAGAACAATTTTTTGAAAGGCCATTACAGAAAAGCATTGTCTCAGTTAATCAGGAAAACTCCATTTCTCAAAATTAATTCTGTAGAATATTTATTTTACGGATAAGGGTGATTGAAGAAATTTCTTAACTGTTGATAGTATAACCTCTATGACACTAAATATTACATGTATTTTATATAAACTTAAAAAAAGAAAAACAATGTTCCACCTTCCAAATAAATCTCAATCAGATGTTTGAATTCTTAGAGATTCTACAGATCTGACCAGAATCGATAATCATAATCATTACAAATTTGATCAATTATCCAAATATTTGAATTTTCTAGACCTAACACTACTATTTCCCTTGCTGAATTGAAAGAAGGAAATATCCGTCTCATTACACTGAGCGTTTTATACACACACCTTTCTTTATGTAATGAAAAATGAATTCGAACCACGCTGATTCCCAGAACCTTTATCATCAATCTGCTGAATATTTTGAAAGTCAACATGTATATTATTGAGATTGGTAGATTGATAATTCAGCAGACATTTGGTATGTCTATGAGTACTAATTGTGCAACACTACTGATCGGCTATTTTTTCTATTCATATGAAGCGGAATGCATACAGAACTTTTAAAAACAACAGAGAAAGAATCATGCAATTGTTTTTATTTCACAAGCTTTGAGATATATCAATTTTAACTCAATTAACCTACATTTCATGGATTGCTTACATCACATATATCCCAGTAAAACAAAGATTAAGAATACCACCATGGAATATCTGTTTCACAAATGACGACAGATATGTTCCAATTGTCGTAACAACAATAGGTCCCCTTTTGCCCTAATAGGAACTACCGAATTAGGCTTATCACCGGATTTGTACTTACATTAGCAACACGACGGGTGAAACATGTGGATCATTTCATTTCATATCCTTCATAAGCAACTGAGATCTCCCCAATTTTTTGGAGTCATCAGTCATTAGTTTTCTATGTTTATGTTGTTTTTTTTGTGTTCTTTTGTTTGTCTGATTGTCTGTTTTTCATTTTTAGCCATGGCGTTGTCAGATTATATTTCCGGCTTATGAATTTGAATGTCTCGTTGGTATGACTCGCCACTCTCTTCCAAAAAGATGATTTGATTCAAATGTTGATCTTTTCATCGATATTTGCACAGATGGACGACTTCAATCTAGAACTTACGACAAACCTGATGATTTGAATTCTCCAATTGTAAACTGCTCATTTCTCATCAGTAACATACCCTATGCTCCATCGTTTTGCGCTGACATATATATAATTAAATACTTAACGCGCGTGCATGTTCAGGCTATACGAACTTACACAAAAGCTCCATCACGCAGTGTAGGACCAGAATACCTTCAATTTTCACAGAGGGCAATAAAAAAAAGAATTATCCAGGATATTACAGAGCTAATCAACCATTTTTTTGGGTAACGTGGCGGATCCAAACTGATGCGATGGAATACGAAGCAGGAACTTAGATCTTAGAGATCAGCCCTCATCTAAAAGAAGATACCATGCTTTACTGACCTCATATATAAATTAATACACTTCGAACATTAAAACTACAATAATATATTTAACTATCTATCTATATATTTAAATTAGAAGACCTCATTTTGTGTGTCGCTTCTCTTCCTTCCACAATAAATTAATTGTCATGCCTCTGTGTCCTATAGGTACCATGCATAGTCGCATTTGTCATCCTCGCTTATGATTATTCAGTTATATATATTTCGGGAGGAAAACGAAAATAAAGGCGTCCGGAAATTGTTTCCGTCATCGGACGGACTTTTAAGTCATAGGTAGCAATACACAGTTAGAAAAAAAATTAAACTTGACACTCATAATTTCTAACCACCTTTTTTCCCTTCCTTTTTAACAAATAAACCTTTATATTTGTGTTATGCATGTGTATATTTATGGAAAGAGCATCTTCCATAGATTTTATATCAAATAGTTATAATGGTGAAATATAATCTCTTTTTGGTGTAACCATGGCAATAATCTGCATTTATTTGATACAAAATATTGCAAAAAAGGGGGTGAAAATGCCACAAAAGTCTAAAAAGTTTGGTCCAAAGGAAAATTTTAATCCATTAGAGTGATACCTTTCCTGAAACCATACACATTTATCTATCAAAAGGTCCAAAAAAAATCATATGCATTTCTGCTCGTTTTTCCATAAAAAAGAATTGAAAAGATCGAGGGTCAAATCTTTGTTGAAAATACTACACTAATTTCTGGACCTATGGGCGGTACGGGTGTGAAAATACGGACTGTCCAACAGACAATTGGCCTATAAAACATGCTAAAAACAATCTAAATGTTCATATAAACCCACTTGGAAGGCTATATTATTCTTCAACTATCTAAAAATCAATATTATTGTACAAAAACTTTCATATTTAAAAAATTCACCATGGCCAAAATGCGAAACTAAACTTCTAACTGTGTATTGCTACCATAGACAAGACTTCCGTTATGGACTGTTTTAAAATAACACATAATTGTCATAAGTACTTGGGGACAGGACAATTGTATTCGCGTTTTTTTTGTATACTATGATCATAAATATACTATAAATAAAGTGTATTTTCTATTTATCAAAATATCAATTCCAAGTTTACTATCCATGGCGGTCACTGATAAATTAAATAGAGAGCCGTGGATAGTAAATTTGGAATTGATAGTAAATAGCAAATACACTTTATTTATAGTTTATGTATGTTCATAGTATACAGAAAAACGCGAAAATAGTTGAAATCAACAGAAAAAAAAATAATGGACTTTGGAAAAAAGGAGGAGGGCAGACAAACGAACGGACGCACAGGCAAGAAAACATAACGCCCCTACTACTATCGTAGGTGGGGCATAAAAATTCATCCAACAACAGTTTACATACTTTCAACCACGTTCCTAATGCCCGCGATTTCGCGGGTGTGTTCTAGTCGAAAATAAAACCAACATCACAATCGACATAGTAAATAATCAAAGATTCTATTGCATAGTAAAACTTAAACATTTGTAACTACCAAGGATAAGTAATACAAACACACCAAATCTACAGTTTCCCAAGATATATCACCACATCAACGTAAATTATATACTGTATTACAAAACAGCCAAACTGAAAGACAAAACTAAATTTATTCGATAAATGAAAATAAAAATTTTTCAAGTGTTTAAATTACACATACGTTTTATTGATAATAAATAAAATAACATTTAACTCAATTTGATGAATATATTACATAGAATCACTAAAGATTTAAGTAATGCGTATTTTTATTTTTATATTATATGTATTTATAGTGCAATTCGAACATTGTTCGAATGCTGAGATTTAAAAACAAGTTACAGAAATCAATATAATTCTCATAAATACTTTAATTTAATCTTTAAGATTTGAATAATGACTAGTCGTATTGGATACATATTGATAGTACAATTAAAAATTTTTCGAATTCTGTTGATTTCAATAAAAAAAAACAGACAACAATACAATGAATACATTACATTAAATTAATAAAAGTTTAAATAAAGAGTATTCTAATTTAGTTAAAAAAAATATACAGATATCAATTTAATTTCAATGGATATATGACATTAAATAATTACAATAAAGAATTAAATAATGAGTATTATAATTTAATAGTGCAATTCTAACATTTTTCGAATTCTGCTATTTTTTACACAGACATCTATATAATTTTGATGAGTACATTACATTTGATTTATTAAATGTTTTAAATAGTGAGTATTTTTAATTGATGTGTTTATATTAAATTTCGGATATATGCCGAATGCTGCTAATTTCAACGATTTTTATAAAACAAATCATTCTTTTTAAAAGATTAGGCACGTGCACATCGCACATAAAATATTAAAAACTGTCAAGTTTCAAACGATTCTGGATGTATTTCGAATTTTCTTTCTTCTGAAATAAATCGATAGAGCAACCAGGACACATATCATTGCTAAAGCACCAATAATAACTCCAGCTACATATAGTGGCCTAAATTTCGACAAAGATTCATTTGATGAATCACCGTTTAGGCGATATTCCTTTGCAGTAGAATCTGAAAGTAAATCCTAAAGGTAATGATTGTTTTCTATGAGGAGATTATAAGAACATCTTATGCGAAACGATAAACCAATGGAAGGAAAACTAAAACAGAGATATAGTATCCTATATGAAAATGATGATAGCTTCTGAACATTAAGTATGTATATATATGTTTTTATTATCAAACACAAAGATTTAAATGTCTACACGTAAAAGATTTGGACAAAAGAAATAGATAACTATCTTTATTTGTTGTTTCAATGCTAAACATAAGGAAATTCGATAAAAAAAAATCCATAGCCTTTCCTTAACAATTACATGAGTTATAAGTGCATGCTAGCTAGCAATAAATTCCTCCAAAAAGTTTTTAAATAGATATATAAGTTAAAACAAGCACAAATATTCACCTTTTCAAACACACTTTCTAAGGTGTGCTCGGCTTAGGTGACTCAGAAAGAGGTTATCTGAACTGTAAAGGTTGTTCACAATTTTGTTTCTAAAAAGCACTTAATGGAAAAACAAGTGAGTCATCTTTTTTTTTAAAAATGCTTTAACGACAATTTTGTAATGAAATGTCTCGATTCTCTGTAAAAATCTTGGCTTGATTAGCCGAATAACCCAGTTTTCTATTTTAAGTAATAGAAAACAAAATAGTTTTGCTGTGAACGACGTTTAATGGCACGTCTCTTATATACCAAATTTTTTGTTGTTTTGATATTGCATCTTTAAAATTTCATAATACAGACACTCACCTCTTTTGTCAGTAAATAGTATTTTAGTTTCATCGTCAGAAATCTCAATAGGGCCATTCAAATTCTGGACTTCACTTCTATGATGTCCCATCCGTTTACTATGTTTGCACTGTGGTTCACATTCAGACGAATAGTCATTTGATTTACAGAATGTAGCATTACAATGAACAAACATTGAATCAGGATGTCCAGCATACTCAAAATCCTGAAAATGGAATCGGGTTTCGTGGGTTGACTGAGATGTAACAAACGTATTCCGATCCACAGGACATCTGAAAGGCAAAAGTGAAAATATCAATGAATATTTCTGTTAAGTTTATGTTTATCTTAGGTACAGAAGGCAATTTAGTAACTTGTCTGGACTTTAACTGTTGTTCTGATATTTTGAAAAAAGCCAACTGTATTTAATTAACATATTTTATTGTAAATCAATTTTGAGGTGATTATTAATTTTTTTTTTTGATATCTCGAAACACTGATTCACATGTTATATTTACTAGCCAACAAAAGTAACGATACACAAATTTGAACTCCAATTCATCATAAAATAAAATTAATAGAAAAAATGTTAAATTATGCAATGAAAACATTCATTTGAAAATCAAATGCATATGATTAAAATAAGCTGACCAAATTGGAAATTGAGAAAATACCGTGTTATTGAACAAAAGGGTCAAGTTCATTTTGAGAAAATGATGACAAAAGGTGGCACTTAATTTCGATGATAAGAGTTAAATACTAGTATTCAAATATCTGCAAAGGCATACAAAATATATGGGACCGATTTGGCAAATATTTACCTAGATAAAGTGTGTCCAATTTATTAGATAGGAAAATTATATTGCCTTGTATCGTTTCTTTTGTTGACTAGTATACAACAGTCTTTTTCGATGCAACTATTCATTTGAAAGATAGTTCAAACATTGTAGTAACACTGTTATCAATGAAACATGTCCTGTTAATTGCGGACAATGCATTACATTCATACGTCGATCTTTTCTATAAAATGGTTAAAAGTTAATAGTGAAGTTTATTATGAAAGAAATTATAGGTGGCTGTTACATGATGAGAAGATTAAACGATTTTAGTTGGTCAAACATGGTAATGCAATTAGCTAATAAGAACACTGCAGACATGATTTTGTGATTGATCTTCCAGAAAACATCGCATATTGTTTTCCTTGGCACTAGAGTTCACCATTGACCATTGTCTTTCGACTTATGTGGAATTTAATGATATCTCCTTTTTGGCAAAAATGTTTTTCTGATTCATCAAATGTTATATGAATGAAGATTCAACTGCCTAAGTACAAATTGAATGTGATCTTGGTCAAATTATTTATCGTAGCAAATGTCAACCGGGTTTTAAATGTCCCGTACTCTTGATTGCAGATACACAGTACGATTAATATAATATTACATTAATAACAATTGTATACACTGTCTATACATTGGTACCTATTTTTCTTTGTCATCAACCGACCTGTCCTGTACCATGTTAGAAAAATGACAGTTTTTATCTTATAGCTCGTTTTTGTGTGTGTTGCATTGTCTTTTTGTTTTTTGTTTTTTGTTGCATTTTAGTGTTTCTGTTGTTTCATTGTTTTCCTCTTATAGTTGATGTGTTTACCTCAGTTTTAGTTGGTAACCCGGATTGTTTTCTCTCAATCGATTTATGACTTTCGAACAGTGGTATACTACTAATGCCTTTATTTAACTGTCCTTAGTACTTACCCATTTTGTATTGTTACTCATAGTTTCATGGCAAACGAGACCGGAAGTAAGGCAGAAAGAGATTTCTGCGCAAATGCGGTAAAATGAAAAAGTTAGAAAAAAAAGTCCCTAGTACTTACCCATTTTGTATTAAGTAGTATGTGTAGATTGTACTGGCATGTTCAGAGGGCTTCGTATAGCAATCTGACAATCGCATCTTAATGTCGTAATCACGCATGCTTGTTTGAACTTTAACAAAGACAACATCGCCAACTACATATGCTGGCGGAAACCCATTAAACCGATTTTGATAATTTGAATCACTATAAAAGTTGAGATGGATCGAAAAATGCCCAGTGCCTGCAGCAGTGTGATCTTCTTGCCCATGATTATGTTTTATGGTGTTTACGCTATGCTCTCGTTTCGACATATCGCATTCAACTTTGATTTTAAATCTATAGTCTCGGATAATAAATCGATGATCAGGATCATGAAGTGCATACACAAGTGTGTTTGTGTAAATAACTGCGTCATTGGAAGTCTGTAAATAAAACAACAAAACATTTCGTTATGCCACATTCAACCTAGCCTGATTTTAAACCTGTAGTTTCGGATGGTGAATCGATGGTTAGGCTAATGAAGTGCATAAAAAAGTGTGTTTGTGTAAATCACGACATCGGTGGATGTCTGAAAAAAAATATTTCTAAATTTGGACTTGTCGCATTCAATTGTGATTTAAAATACGTAATCTCGGATAATAAAATCTATGGTTAGGGTTGTCGATTGAAAAAATAAGTGTGTTTGAGTAAATCACTGCGTCATTGTGTCTGAGAATAAAACAACATTACATTTCGACATGACACATTCAACGTTTAATTAGAACCTGGGAAAGTTTATAATACACATTCAAGTGTGTCTGTGCAATTATCTTCATTTTTATTTTATTTTGTTTTGTTGGATTTCGTGCAGTCCTTTCAGTTTTATTCAGTGCATTCGTAATAATTGATTTGTCAAATTTGAACATAAGTAAAGCTAATATTCCTGATATTCTTTGAGGTATAAAGTATCGAGTCGGTCAATATTATCTTTTTTCTAGTTTGTTGATATTGGTATTATACAAAAAGGGTAAAATATCTTAATTAAATGTTGCTGTTTAAACTTAGCAATATTAACAAAGTCATCTACGACAGTGTCGTCTAGAGATAGTTTGAATGGTAAACCCTAAATGCGTTTTATAAAAATTATTTTTTATTTACTGTAATAAAATTTGGACCGGAAATGGGAAATGCGTCAATGCGACAACATTCCGACCACAAAGAGCATAAAACAACTAAAGGCAACCAATGGGTCAAAACACAGCGAGAAAAATCAGGTTCCAGGAGGAGTGCATTAGATAGCCCCTACACAATAGTGTATACTAGTTCAGCGATAATAGACGCATCAAACTAAACTCCGAAATATATAAATGAATCAAAAGTTAATATTAGCGTACAAGACTAACAAAGGTCAGAGGTTTCTGACTTGGTACAATCGCAAAAATGCGGCGGGTTTAAACATGTTTTGTGAGATTAAATTAGAGTATATAAATTTAAGGAGATGTGGAATGAATGCCAATGAGACAATTATTCACCACTATTCAAATAAAGTGTATCTAATCAATAGTGGCAACCGTTTGGCCTTCAACATTTAGAAAAACCCATATCGTATAGTCGGCCATAAAAGTCCCCGACAGGAAAAATATGAAACCATTCAATAGAGAAAACTAATGGCATAATTTATAACAAAACAATTAACGAGAAACAAATACAACAGACCTGAATCAAATGCAACCACTGAACTCTACATGCGTCTTATTTGGGAAAGACATATGATTAATGTGGCAGGGTTAAACATGTGTTTGAACGCTCAATCGTTCCTAAACTTGGACAGTGATGTTACAGCTCAAACTATAAAAATCAGTAGAAAAGGGTTTAACCCATCAGATCGATACAAAGAAATCCATCAAACAAAAATACAGCACAGACAGGACGTGGCAAAGATGTTCGATGGTCTTGTTTTTGTTTTCTTGGACACGGACCTTTCCATTTTTTTCTGTTATATTAGTTCCCGATATATATTATCAATGTATTACAGTCTGTTAAGAAGCGTCATTTGTATTCCCGGAATAACTCAATAGTGGGCAACCGTTTGGCCTTCAACATTTAGAAAATTTGGAATTTGATGCAACTGTCGTACAAGTGAGAGGTTTAGCGCTTTAAAACCAGGTTCAATCTACCATTTTCTACTTTACCAAGTCAGGAATATGACAGTTGTTGTTCATTCGTTTGATGTGTTTTATCATTTGATTTTGCCATTTGATTAGGGACTTTCCGTTTTGAATTTTCCTCGGACTTCAGTAATTTTGTGATTTTACTTTTTTCAATCATATTGCGTACAAAGACACTGTTTCGAAAATCACTATTAGTGACGTTTTGTTTGCCATTTAGCGCAGTAATAACGGGTAAGTCTGTGGTTTTCAAACCAAGTACCAACGATAAAGAGCAGTACATATAAACTATTGTAAATATCGAAGTATACGCATGTCTACATTTTTAAATGTTTTAATTTTGACCTCATTTTCTTATATCTGTAATATTTAAAGTTTAAACATGATAGTGCATCATAAGCCTATTTGGCTGGCTGAATCATTATGTTTATACCCAATGTACATTATATTGTATATATTCAGGTTGCACTCTAATAAACCATTCATTCATTTATTCATAGAAAATAGAACCAACTATGGGGCGAAGCACATACAAGGATCATCTGTAGACTTTCAGATCTTAATGTGTGTCCTTTGAAATCTTCTTGAGTGTTAAACAAATAAAAGGGATACCATCTGCGTTTACGTATATGTATGCCTAATCAACACTTAAATTGGTTTCATATGTTTATTTCTTTATGTTATAACAATATAAAAAATGATTTGCTAGATATACATAGAAATACATACTGACTTATCAGTTAAGCATGAATTGTATTCCTCGCTGAATATAATATAATCACCAGTTTATACCCAGTACATGAATCACGTCCGATATACAGGCATACATACCGATTTATCAGTTAAGCATGAATTGTATTCCTCGCTGAATATAATATGATCACCAGATTCATACCCGGTACACGAGTCACGTCCTAGATAAATATCTCTTGCATTAAAATCTTGGAATTGCTGCTTCAAGGGTCGTACATAGAGTCGAATGTTCCAATTACTTTCTTGACAGTTAACATGAACATAGTTTTCATAATAGGTATCTGTAATGAATTTAATTAAAAGCTGATATATCTGCTTGAGTGTTACTTATCAATTCGTTTTTTTAAACTGGTTATTTATGATGCTTATGTGCATTTGTTAGGTTTTTTTTTGTTAACTCAATTAGACATCGTGATATTCTGTTTAATTCATTTTCAAATAAAATTATAATAGTAGTGAAGTGACAGTAACCATAACATTTTATTTTTTATTGCACACGGCTAAATAATATATCATTCGTAAGCTTATTATATGTACGTTTTGTTTTTGCCGGTCGTGAAGTATTTCTACGGTGCTATTTACGTGCCATCACGATCAAAGGTCAAGGATGACCACCTAAATTTTTTCCAAGATCGCAGCACTATTGCAAATTTTGTCTTTTCTGTATTGAAATCATGTTTACAAATAAGTACAACATGTAACAAATAGATTGATAAACAAGTATTAGGAAAAATGATAAATAAACATTGAGTTAAAACCTTTTAAAATAAAATCGTTTAACTGGTAATTACCTAAACCAAAATCAGATCGTTTATTTAGGGATAAAGAAGTTTTTGACAACATCAATATTCTACAATCAAGTTTTATACTTATTGAACAGTCAATCATGACAACTCCTATTACCAATGTTATTTCAACTGATCGGGAGGAGCTTGCGTTTTAATTTGCATAAGGACAGTCTATTTGAAGATGTGTGTGAACAGGATGATTCCCGTTGTAATTATAATTGATTTCTAATCACATATCAGTGTCACCAAACGGATAAACAAAATAACTGCGTGTATAGATGGAATGGAATAGTTTAAACTTGTAGCATGTATATGTGCAGAGTATTTTAAAGTATCGTCCTTTGTACTGATCAGTTTGAAACATTTCTAATTCTACTGCAATTATTTTGTATCAATGGTTCTGATTGGATGACAGTAAGCGTAAAATTCGATATCTCCTTGTCTGTAACTAAGGAAGCCGACATTTTGAATTGCGGAATGTATTGACGTGTAATTTCTACAGTAATAAGCGAAAAAACTCACATTTTGCACCTAAAATCTACTTTTTATCAAATTTTATTCCATGCTTAAGCGGCCAAGAAGCAAGAAAACGCCCGGTGTTTACGTTTGACGCCGGAAGCATACCTATGACGTCACCTAGTTTCGGTGCCAAAGAAGATAACATTTTTTGGCGGAGTTTTTTGTAATGAAAATTTTACACTGAAATAATGATTGAAATTGATTTATATACTTGTTTTGCATTAGAATAGAGATAACTGTATTGTATTTAAAGCTTTGCGGACTACAATCGGTAGTATTACTATCGCAAATACCCGTTTATCTGTCTCCGCTATGCGTCGCCAGGTCAACTAAATTTGCGACAGTAAAACTACCGATTCACGTCCGCAAAGCTTCAAATACAATACAGTTATCTCTTAATTGTAAGATTAATATTAAAAGTGCTTCCAAAATAAAGTAAAAACAAAAAATAAAATATGTTCACCCTATTTTTCCTTCCTTAAAAACGATCACAATATATAAACAGCATTAAAAAAATCTCGATTTACGCGAGCATGTGTTACTGCAACTTTTATTTACTATTTTAGCACATCTGCTAGTTCGGTTAAATCATTCTGTATTACGAATAATGGCAAAGTGAAAGTGTAAGAAGAAACTCTCCTCTCAGTTAATAAATGATAAAGTCTGCAACGTGTCCATAATTCACAAACCGACGTCCACTACAGTAAAAGCTTTTAAGGAAAATTATACTTGCTGTTTAAGAAAGGAAACCAATAAGGTCAAAGTATCATTTGCAACATATACCCCTGTCACCTTACCCATACAAAAAAAAATCTTTCGGAATTAAATGAGGAAAAAAGTATATCAAAACATTTCAGAATTACCAGATATCAATTTTTTGCATCTTACTTTTTTCTGCCATCGCCATAGTTATTCTCTCGTATCCGAATTTCTAAAATGTGACAATTATTACATGTTTTTTAACTCCACACAAGAAAATCAACGGATGTGTCTCACATTTTACTTTGTGAATACACATAAGTGGTTTATATGTTTTAACCGGATCACTGAAAATAACTTGACACTTCATTGATGAGTTTTTTCCCAAAACACCTATCTTAATAAGGTCTGCCGTCTGGTCTATCATAGCGTACCGCTTTAACCCTGCCCAGTCAAGTGAAATAAATCAAGTAACACAGTTGTCTAAAATACCATGACCTGCGAAAACTTAGCTTTGTATCACTTAATACGTTAAAACATTGCATTTTGTCAATATTTTGTTTAGAAACACAATTCAAAAAAAAGGGAAAACACTTAAAGGAGATAATACATGCTGGTATCATGCTTTTTGGTGTAATTAGAGGGGAACGCAAAGTTTGTTATATCAAAATGAATTTTAACTGCAAGTCTGAAGGAAAAATTATTTCTATTTTCGTAAAAAATTATTTGTAATTTTCCAATTGACATTTAAATGATATTATTAAATACGTAAT